CAGCTTTGTCTTACTTACTTGAGTCAAATGAATTATGGCATATACATTTGGGTCATGTTAATTATAAAACCTTGCGGAAAATGATTAATTTGGAAGTATTGCCTAAGTTTGAATGTGACAACTCAAAATGTCAAGTATGTGTGGAATCTAAGTATGTTAAACATCCTTATAAGTCAGTTGAAAGGAATTCAAATCCTTTAGACTTAATTCACACAGATATTTGTGACATGAAGTCAATATCATCTCGTGGTGGAAAGAAGTATTTCATAACTTTTATTGACGTACTCAATATTGCTATGTTTACTTACTTAATAGTAAAGATGAAGCAATAAACGCATTCAAGCAATACAAAAATGAAGTTGAAACGCAACTTAACAAGAAAATCAAAATGATAAGAAGTGATAGGGGTGGTGAATATGAATCTCCTTTTGAAAAAATATGTTTAGAATATGGAATTATTCATCAAGCAACGGCCCCTTACACGCCCTAATCCAATGGGATTTCAGAAAGAAAGAATCGTTCATTAAAGGAGATGATGAACGTATTATTGATAAGTTCTGGTTTGCCACAGAACTTGTGAGGGGAAGCCATTATTACGGCTAGCCGAATACTAAATCGAGTACCCCATAGCAAAACACAATCCATTCCATATGAAAAATGGAAAGGAAAGGAAGCCCAACTTGAATTATTGTAAAGTGTGGGAGTGTTTGGCTAAAGTGCAAGTTCCTAAACCCAAAAGGGTAAAAATATGACCGAAAATTGTGTTTTCATAGGATATACGACTAATAGTAAACCATATCGATTTCTGGTTCATAAATCAGAAAATCCCGACATTCATAATAATACGGTTATAAAATCAGATATTGCTGAGTTCTTTGAAAATATATATCCGTATAAAAAGGAATTGTGAGTCGATTGGTGAAGGATCTAAACGACCTCGGGAAGAAACAAAAGAAAGTACACTTAACCAGGAGGATCCAAGACGTAGTAAGCGTCAAAGAACGTCTACTTCATTTAGACCAGATTTTGTGACTTTCTTATTGGAAAATGAGCCTCAAACATTTAAAGAAGCTATGTCTTCTTCGGAATCATTGTTATGGAAAATGACAATCTATAGTGAAATAGAATCCATATTGAACAACCATACATGGGAATTGGTTATCTTCCTCCTGTAAATAAACCGTTGGGTTCTAAATGGATCTTTACGAGGAAAATGAAAGATGATAGCACTATTGACAAATATAAAGCAAGACTTGTGGTCAAAGGGTATAGACAACGAGAAAGTCTTGACTATTTTGATACATACTCTCCAGTTACAAGAATTACGTCCATACAAACGTTAGTAGCGTTAGCTGCAGTTTATGGTCTTGAAATTCATCAAATGGATGTTAAGAAGACCTTCTTAAGTGGAGAGTTGGAGGAAGAAATCTACATGGAACAACCTGAAGGGTTTGTGGTTCCAGGTAAAGAAAAAAAGGTCTGTAGACTTGTTAAGTCCCTTTACGGATTAAAACAAGCACCCAAATAATGGCATGCAAAATTTGACCAAACAGTGTTGTCAAATGGATTTAAGATAAATGTGTGTACATTAAAAATGTTCCAAACACATAATCATTGTTTGCTTATATGTGGATGATATGCTTATAATGAGTAATGACATTGCCAACATAAATGTTACTAAGCGTATGCTAACTAGCAAGTTTGATATGAAAGGCTTGGGAGTTGCTGATTTAATTCTGGGAATTAAGATCCATAAGACTTCTCAAGGTCTGGCATTGTCACAATCTCATTATATTAAGACAGTACTTAAAAAATTTAAGCACTTGGGCTTTAAAGTTGCAAAGACTCCAATTGACGTGAATCTTGCATTAGCAAAAAACAAAGGCCAAAGCATATCACAATTGGATTATGCTCATGTATTGGNATGTGTTGGGTTACTTAATGTACATCATGAATTGTACACGACCAGATATAGCTTATGCTATAAGTAAATTGAGTCAATATACGAGCAATCCAGGTCAATCTCATTGGATGGCCATGAAACGAGTTTTGGGGTATTTAGTACATACCCAGGACTTTGCTTTACACTACAGTAAATATCCTGCGGTCATTGAGGGATACTGTGATGCAAATTAGATCACTAGATCAACTGATTCCAAGTCCACAAGTGGATATATATATTGGTGTAGGAGCGGTATCTTGAAAGTCGTCCAAACAAACTTGTATTGCCCGCTCTACAATGGAAGCTGAATTCATAGCCTTAGATAAAGCTGGTGAAGAAGCTGAATGACTCCAGAATTTCTTGGAAGATACTCCATTTTGGCCCAAACTGTTGGCACCAATATGCATACATTGCTATAGTCAAGCGGCAATTGGAAGGGCTGAGAGTACGGGTGTCAATGGATATTCGAAAACCGACTAAATCGACCGAACCGTACCGCACCAAACCGATTTTTAGGTTTCTTTTTAAGAAACCGTAGGTTTTTATATAAATTTATAACCGCACCGATAATTAGGGTAGGCTTTTTATTTTATAAAAGTAAACCGAAAAAATACCGAACCGTACCGAATAAATTTTACATGTGAAAAATATATTTATCTAGTAAGTATAAAAATAATAATGCATTAAATTTTTCTTTGGGCCTTGGAATTATAAAAAAATTTATAAGCCAACAAGTAATTAAACTCAAAATACTAATTCCTAAAGCTTATTATGGTACTTCTATTTAAACTAAGTTATTTCAAGTATCTTTATTAGCAAGTCACAAAATATTATAGCGATTACGAGTAGCAATTTACAATGTATTGAATATGTTTCATTTCATATAATTTAAATTTATCTTTTTGAATATTTAATCTTCTATAGACTTTATTCTTGAGTCCTAACTTGGTTAATATCTTTCTACTTGTGTGATTTATATTTTCTTTGACTTTGCTTGATTTCTTTTACGTTGTTGTACAATAGTTGATGGATCTATACTCTAGTCATCTTTCATTTTTTTTTAATTCATCATCCTTTAAATAGTAAAAATATCTAAAGAGTGGTGCTAAGTCCTATAAAAGAATGTATGTTATTGCATTTTACTTCTATCGGTGAATTTTACATGATATTTAAAAAAATATCGAAAATTAACCAAACCATACCGATATCGAAGAGAAACCGGCATGATTGGTATGGTTTCGAAAAGTCTAATTTTGGTTATACATAATAGAATAACCGAAAAATTGGTATGATACAAATTTTATAAAATAATCGGCCGAACCGAACCATTGACACCCCTAGCTGGGAGCGTTATGTATACCAGTAAATCTCGTCATATATGACGAAGACATAAAACCGTTAGGCAATTACTCTCTAGAGGAATTACCACAATTAATTATGTAAAGTCAAGTGATAATGTGTCGGATCCACTTACAAAAGCCCTAACTAGAGAGGTAGTTGAGAAATCATCAAGGAGAATGGGACTGTGGCCGAGAACAAGTCGTAGTGGCGGTAACTCTACCTAGAAGACTGGAGATCCCAAGATATAGGTTCAAGGAGATCAAACAAAGTCATTAATGACGGTTCAACATTATCAACTAAACTTTTGGTCCATTCTCGTGATGAGACAATGTTCAGTACCAAGAATAAAGCATTAAGGCTTTTTAATGATTTCTAAATTTGATACGGGGTATATCAAATAGCGTATATACGGGATGACACGTTTAGGAATCACCTATGTAAGTGTGAAGTGTTAGCCACTTTAAGGAGAACTTTGTAAGACCAGTTCTCTACGAACTTATGAAACCAGGCGGTATTCATGGCTGAAACGAACACAACAATGAGAACCAAAGATGGTTAAGGGTTGGTTGTGTGACTTGTGGTTGTATAGGTATACACCAAAGTTCGACAGTTCAAAGATATCAAATCTACCGATTGATCGAGTATATCTGACATAAGTTCACTACGGAAAGTTCAAAGGAAAATCTACTTATCCAGATGCAATTAATTCTTGCTTGCGAATCACACAGTTTTCCTGCATACTTCCGTGATATAGCCATTCCCCATTCATGTGGGGGATTGTTGGGTTTTTATGTATTTAATATATTAAATACATAAAAGAGGGTGAATGGAAAATGGAGGGAAATGAAATTTTTGAGTGAAATTTTAAGTTCCCCCCCTTGGCAAATGGACATTGTCCCATATTGGAAGAGGAAGAGGTTTTTTATGGGTATATAAGCAATTGCTCTTCTTCTAGCTCTTAACGAGTTGAGAAAAAGACAAGCCTCGCGCCGTAGTCGTCGCTCGCTCGGCTTCGGCTTCTGCTTCGAATTTGGTCAATTGATTGATTAACTTTTTGGACCAAATTTATTTGTTAATAATAAAATATTAATAGAAATGTTATTAAATATTTGTTTTAATTACAGAATATTAATATTAATATTAAATCCTTCAATCCTTTTTTCTGTTTTGGTAACAGAAAATTAACTATCGTCTTCAATTTTCCCTCTTTATTTTTGAGTAAATAGTCACTTATGTAATGACATTTATGTTGTGGCCGTTTTGCATAAACAGCCGCTCTGAAGAGTTGTACCTCTTTAGATTTCAGCCCAACTTTGGCTAAATACAAGGCTATTCTGCTCAGAATTTCCATACGAATTTTCTGAGTTCTTCTCCTTTCTTCTGCATATTTTAACTTTAAAGAAAACAACAGTAAGTGTGATTTGCTATCGAACTTTGTGTTCGCTGAAACATTGAGGTTTGAAGTACCACTACACCAATGTGTAATTCGTTTTATCCTGGGAGGAAATAATCCATAACCTTGGGTACTAGGAGAGGATTAAATTCCTTAAGGAAACACTGTGAATTTAGTGGGCTCGAATTGATTTTTATTATTTCGTTTACTATTCTGTTTATATATTATTCTGCTTTGTTTTTTCAGAATTAGTTTGCAAATACAGTTTACTAAAATAATATGCATAAATTTCTTAATTAACCACACTTTATTGCATGCTCCGAGTAAAAAATTGCCTGTAATTTTCTCTAAGTTATCAAAATTTTCCTTCCATAAATATACTATATTACAACTTTGTGGATGAATAAAGTTCCGCATCCTACACAAACATAAAAAGAACCTCTAACCTCAAAACAAATGACATATATTCAAAAGATACAAAGAGAACTAATTAATGAAAAAGACCAATAAGCTCTCTACTATGTATTTTGTGTTTCAACTAAGAATGGTTTGAATGTCATCAACACACCAATTGCCTCAATCACATTCAGCACAAAGAAAACCACCTGATCACCTGCATTTGAGATGACACAAATTTACTTATATGGAGTCAAACATAAATAAAGGAGAGAGCAAACAACTTGAAAGCGAAAATTTGGCAATATAATTCTTTGAAAGGAAGCTGAATAAATTACTATGTGCAGTATAAACGAGTATCTGTCTTATGTAATATGGAATTAAGAAGGGGCAAGAGAAGTGACAGAGTTAGCATTTTGCAGTCAGCGCAAAACCAGTACAACGCTACAAAACTACTAGTGTCACATTAGAAAATCTCTTTCTTTGTATCTCTTCATCGCTGACAGCTGACAGGACAAAGGTTCCAGGATTCAGAGGTCAACGATCCTGGCCTCAGCGATACATTGAAAAGATTCTAACAGTTAAAAATATGCTCTCTGAATAAATATTTGGATAAAGATCTTGAAATATTCAAAGCTATACTCATACAGTTCACACCATTGCTGATCTGCAGTGTGTAATATTATCCACCCATGACAGTTTTATGCTTCTAGCAAAAGCCACCACCCCTCATTCCACCAAGCAGAGGCAAAAACTCTAGGTACTGTAGAAATATGATTTTAGCAATGAGTCATTACCTGGAAGAATGGAAGCGTCAAGCCTTTTTTGTGCCCAAGAAAAGCTGCACAAATCAAGAAAAAAGGCGACAATTTTAGCTGCAAGCAAATAGATGAGGCGTTCCTATTTCTAAAGCAAAACCAGGTAATCTGAAAGTTTCCAAAGCAAATAAGTAAAACACATTCTGATTTTCCAACCCCCGGTATTATCACCGGAAAAAGAAGATAGTCTGTCTTAGACAACAAGATCTATCACTATACTACGTTCTTAAGTCCAATTTGCATCTTATTCTTAAATGTCATAGTTGTGTCTTCGAGGATCGGAATCAAACTGTTCAGTAAACCTTCCACTGCTTTCGGCCGATCTCTTTGAGGTGAAATCTTAGAGGTGCTTTTTCTTCTTGGATATTTATTTTTACCATGTAGATCATATGAATAAGTTTATATAGATTGCAGATTCCAATTTTAATGATCTTACAACGACGGAAATAAAAGCAGGTGGTTGCTACAATTTAGTTGTTTCGATACACGATGCTTCAATATTGGCCACTACAACTTGCCATGATCACAATAACTTGAGCTATTGCATTAATATGGTTCTACTAGTTAAATGATTATTAAACCATAGCAAATCTGGAGAATAATTTTGTAGTAAAAATTTTTTGTCGCATCCTCAACCATATGCTACAGTATGTATTAACACCATTTGAAAAGGTTCCATCTTTATTAATGTCTTCACAAGACTAAAATGGAAAAGCATCTTTTCATCCACATCATAAATAATAGAATTTTTTTTAATCTAATCAATTAGAACTAATACAATTTATAATTAGCAGAAACAAATGCTGATTGATAAAACAAGTAAACTCACAGTGCTCCTCCCCCTGCAGGACCGAGAGCTTTAAAAATTGACATTGCTGTCATGGCAATTCCATTAGCAGCTCCCCTTTGTCGCTGGTTCTGTGGTTGTTAATCATTTAACATCAGATCGAGACCAAGCGAAGCATATTGCATAATGACACAGTGCTTCTGCAATTGACAGTTAATCTTTTAAAGGAGAGAGCAAAGAAGAATTTACCACAGCTTTGTTTTGCAATATGAACAACCCTGTTATGATAGAGATCTGGAGACAATTCAAAGTCAATGTTAGAACTTGAGGTTATGAATTTCAACACTAGGATGTAGAATATAGTTCAAGTATAGTAATTTTGCTTCCTTATGAGTGGTGTACCATATACTCGTGATAATAGAGAGGTCTACTTCTCTAAGAATATCACATTCACTTCCATATTTCATTCATCATCTCATTTTTAGTCTTGCACAAAGTAAATTACAGAAACCAGAAAATCACTTACAGACAAAGCATTCTTCATTACGGATGCAAAATTTATTGCCAAAGAGAGAGCGATCCCAGACAGCATAGCGATATAAGGGTAACTTGTCAACAAGGGAATTGACAAAACCTGATCATATCAGGGAAATTAAGTTAACCTTTCAAGATTTTCTGGAAGCCTGGATAGAACTCACAAGTTATCAGATTGTACAAGTCAAGTGCTTACTCCTGCAACTCGAGCAGCGATGATAGGGCCAACATACCTCTCAACCAACGGATATAGAGTTAGTTGGAAAACTAGAAGGCCAAACCCTGAAACACCACCATCAATCCAGTATCCAGTATCGTATAATTATATGAAACGAAATATATTAATAGGGCAGCAGATAATTCAGATGCTTTAAATAACTTTCTGCCTGAGCTAATTCAACAGATCACCAATATAAAAATAAAATCCCTAATTGTAATTGACCTTATAGTGAATGATAATACACTAACATTATGGAAACACAATTGTGGTCTAGTATTCGTTTCAAGAACAAAAATGTTAGCATAAATAACTGATAACTATGAAAACTAATCATGTGTGTTGCAATCACAGCCTACATTGAATTAGTTCTCATTTAAGTGAAAAGACCTTGACATAGACAAATCTTACAACAGGGGGCTTAAAGAGAGAGGAACTAACAAGTTATTTTGTACTATCATAGAATTTGACTAGCTATATTCATAGATAATTTGGAAAAAGAAGACAGAAACCTAAAAGAATTAGTAAGAGTGCTTCTGAATTTCTTACCAATCTATGTACTTTAGCCACATTTGATGGATCAAATGTTACTTTGGTGAAATACATAACACAAACTCATTTCTTTTAAACTTTTGATTAGATATGACAAGCATAAACAAATAATTTTAGCGGTTACAACATCTATAGGGGTGAATGTTGGAAGAGATTGGTTGGAAAAAGAAAAGCAAGCAAGGTTCATATATCTGTAAAAGAATATGAATTACTAGAAAATCAGCATGTACCTGAGATTGATAATACTTCACCAACATCAGCAGTTGAATAGCTTAAGCCCCCAAACTTTCTGGGGCTCACAGCCCATAATGAGAAAATCTGCAGAAGCAAGTATGTTTGGGATGATAGAATAAATTAGTTATGTAATGTCCCCGGTGCCAGAAGATTGAAAGACAATCATGATAACAATCATGATATACGTATTAATTAAGTTTACACGGGTGGAATCTCAAAAACCTACAAACAAATTGAACAGGATCTTTGTATTTTGCAACTCATGATAAATGATACACAAAGATGTTCTTAGAAGTCGTAAATCCTCTTGATATGATCATTTTGTTGTTTGCTTTCGTCATATACCCCTAGAGTTGCAAATAGCATAAAAAGGGCAGCCCGGTGCACTAAGCTCCCGCTATGCACGGGGTCCGTGGAAAGGCCGGACCACAAGGTCTATCTTACGCAGCCTTAAATCAATGAACAAAACAATGACTACACAGCACCAGGAATTTGCAATCTTCAACAGATTAAAACTTGAACGTCAGAACTCAGCACTCATAATATCTTCATAGATATGGAAAAAGCACTTTACTAAAAAAGTTTACAGTGGAATGTTGGGGCCAAAAACTTTATACTGGTAGAATATTGGTAATGGAACATTGCCCATTGCTGTTGCTCACCTATCCTCAGAATGAGTAGTAAGTAGAATGTTTATTAAGCTTCTGAAAGCTAATGAACCTAGGCTTTCTACGCAGAAGACAGAGCTGCAGAATTGTAAAAGAGACGGTTCTTTTGTCGTCAAAAAGAGAAACCCTTTACTTTCATAGTATTACTGTGCAGCAGAAAAAAATTTGGCACATAAATAACATGTACGCCTCAATCCCAAACAAGTTGGGGTCGACTAATATGTTTATAAAATTTGAAGAACAATTTACACATCCGAACAACCGAACCCCGGTCAGTACTGTCGGAGGGTTCTATGATACAACCCACCAGATCAGCATAAAACATAAACCAACATTGTCCCTTAGGAATATCTAATGCATTGCCTAAGGATGAAAGTACAATGTGTTTACAACAAAGTCATTGCATGAAAACATGCAACCAATGGGCTTTCGGACCAGAGATATGCATAGCTTTATCTTTCTTATAAAAGAAGATGCCTACCATAATCTGTTAATGCAATGATTTATCCTACAGTAACTTAATTTGGGTGAGAAAATATAGTATACCTCATTATAAGCCATATCATGAAGAGAGAAGACACAGTATAGTATGATAGATGACATCAATGGCCAGTTCTTAAAAAGGTTTTCTTTTGGGGCTGATTCATTTCCTTCTTTTGTATCAGGTGCAGCCTCCAGAGCCTCATATGAATCTTGAGGTGGCACGCTCGATTCATGAATGTGTAATGTTTCCTGCAATTCATGAGCATTAGGGATGAAATTCTATGATTTAACACAGTTCAACTAAAACTGGGAAAACCAGAAAAGATACTGAACAAAGTAATGAGAAACAGAAAAGGGAGAGAGAGACACAGATATTAATGTGGTTAGAGAAATTCAGAAACCTATATACATAGGTAAGATGAAGAAATGTTCCATTATGATTAAAGAGCTTCTCATCATTGAAACACCAGAAATACACCCTATTACAGCAACTCCTTACCCTACACAACACAATGCCACATATGTAGAGGCTGAAAATGAAACTCCCGACACATTCCTCCACTTCACCCTATTACAGCAACTCCTTACCCTACACAACACAATGCCACATATGTAGAGGCGGAAAATGAAACTCCCGACTCATTCCTCCACTCCACCACCCTATTAGAGGTATATAACGCATATTGAACATCCTAATTATTTTCACTTCTTTTAAATTTGAACACCCTTGGGGAAATTCTTAGTTTCGTCACTCCTTTCAACATGTTGTAGACTCCCAGCACAACAAGAAAAAGAACTAAGGCAAACCTTGATCTGTCTCAGGGGAAGTTTAAATCAGAAATGGAATTGCAACTAGAACAAGTCCTTCCCCACCCGCCTCACGAATGTACAGAAGCCAAAAATAACTCGAAATATTAAAAGGAAACAGATGTCTAGACGATTCTCATTCTCACCAACACTGGAAAATAAAGTAATATGGTTATCTGAAATGATATGTGATGATTGTCCATTAAGAGTTTATGCAAAATCCAAGTTAGTTTAGGAGGTGAAATACAAATTGTCTGACTGCTAACACGATTAAACAGTATGTGCCATAGACCCAGAAATTATTAACGTAATCATGTAGATTTACCGGCAGCCAAAATGAAGCAATAGCCACGACCAAGGAAAACAGTGATATGATTAAGCAAGGCAAGAAGTAGGGAAATCTGCAGAAAAATATCATATGTTGGAGTCAAGGAGCAATTCAAGCAGCAAAAGAAGATATACAATTGTGAAAAGAAAGAAGCATAATACCTCCCAAATATAGAATCCTTAGCGAATATTGACGGATATTTCTCTGCAGGCTTTGGTAAACAGGACATTTAGAGAGCATGTATATATGCTAAGATTTGCGGAGATACTTACAAGTAGAAACACAAAGAATTTTAGGCTATGAAATTTCTCTTACAATTGATCATAAAATGACTAAACTCTCTTTCCCCAACAGGAGGAAGGAATACAAAAAGAAAATAGCTAAGGAAAAGAAAGTACCTGGGCAAGGAAGCCTCCTAAAGCCGGGCCAATAATCAATCCGATTCCCCATGCAGTACTAATCTGAAACAATTCAAACATACAAGAAAAATAAAACAAAATTCCATAAAATCCACTGTCTAAATGGTCACTCAGAATTGCATTCTTGCCATTTCTTGTCTCTATAAAGTTGTCTACAATCCTCTCATTTGTTAGAAATTATTTGTATAACTGAAAATTAAGGGCATATTACCGTAGACATTCCCAGTGCTTGATATTCTTCACGGAATATTTCAGCAGCATATGCCTAAGAAGGTAAGCATCTTAAGAGAATAGCTTAGGATGCAGTACAGAATCGTATGATGGTATTAAACAGATAGAATACCTTTATTGGTCCAATCAAACCATTTAAAGAACCAAGAAGAAATCGTGTAATGATTGCCATCCAAAAGTTGACACTAAGACCAAAGAGAGTATTGAAAATAACCCTGAAGCACAATTATAGTAAGAAGGTATAAACTTCTCGTCATTTAAGTGAATGAAAAGAGAACATTTTCAATAACGATTGGTCATACACTACAAAAGTGCCGAAGATTATAACTGGTTTTCGGCCATATCGATCAGCCACTAGTCCCCAAAAGACAGATGTCAAAGCTCTTCCAAGCATATATGAAGAACCTTCAGTATTTCAGGAAATTGATAAGCAGTTTTTCGACAGACCTCTGTATGATCACATATCAACAAACAAATTATGGCATGAAATAAGCTTACCTACATAACCTGCATAGTAACTGATATCTTCCTCTCTCTTTGCAATGTGAAAGTCCCTTATCTGTAGGGAAAGCGAAAATTAGTAGTTTTATGCAATCAAGAAAATAACAAAGGGGACCAATTGCAATTCTGCTTCTTAAATAAAGATATCTTGTTTTACTTAGTTCTATGTATTCGACAAAACTTGAACTCAACGACAGGCCAAAAAGGTTGATTGATCTTACCATGAAATAAAGAAATGGAAAGAGAGATGATATTGGAAGTGCTGAAGTGTTGAATCCCATGAAACAGACAAAAAACAAAATGAGTCGGAATATCAACAGATAAAATCAAAGGAAGGATCCCCAAAGGAAGCTTTTAGCAATAACTATCAAAAACTTGTCTTCAAGTACAGCAATGAAGCAAACTTGCTAGCTAATATATGAACATACAAAGAAAAGCTCTAAGAAGCTAACCTAGAATTTTTGCATACAACGAAACACTTTGAAAAGGTAATATATGTTTTACACCGCGCTACCAAGGGACAGCTGAATATTAGCGGCAGACTACCATCAAACTAGACTAAAAATTCTTTCTTAATATTAGTATGAAACTACCACTGTTATTTCGAAATGTATTATACAAGTTAAGACGCAGCAGTTCTCTCTTCATATTAGTGGCAGACTACCATCGGATATAGACCAAAAATAAATGCATCCATCAAGAATGAGATCCATGGAGTAAAAAGGAATGGAATAAAACATGTGACGCATTATATCAGATAGTTTGATATGAGGATACCTTAGCATCTTATATTGTCATTGCTCCACCCATTGCCTTAAGATTGTGAGCTTGATGTTCATATTCTTTCATATAATATAACAATCAATATTTGACGAGACTATTTGAAAAGGTAATATAGGCTTCGCACTTCCAAGGGACAGCTAAAAAAGGCAGCCCGGTGCACTAAGCTCCCGCTATGCGCGAGGTCCGGGGAAGGGCCGGAACACAAGGGTCTATTGTACGTAGTCTTACCCTGCATTTCTACAAGAGTTTGTTTCCATGGCTTGACCTGTGACCTCTTGGTTATATAGCAGCAACTTTACTAGTTACGCCAAAGCTCCTTCCAAGGGACAACTACCCATCAAAATAGACCAAAAAGTCATTCTTAATATTAGTATGAAAACTACCACTGATATTTCAAAATGAATTACACAAGTTAAGAAAACAGCAATTCTCTCTTCATATTAGTGGCGGACTACTATACGAGTAGACCAAAAATAATTGCATCCGTCAAGAATGAAATCAGTGGAGTAAAACGGAATGCAATAAATCGTGTGAAACATTATATCAGATAACTTGATGTGAGGGACAACATAGATTCCTAATTAAGAGCTTAAATTGTTTCGCTATTCGATTTGAACATACTCATTACCACCCATTCTGGACTTTTAGAACATGAACTCATATTTAATTCCTAATAATATCAGATTTTCGACTAAGTAACTGTTACATAAAACAGTAACATGCTAAACATTGCGCAAACTCTACAAAATGTTACTGCACCCATGTCAGATCCTTCAAAATACATTACTTTTGGAGGATATGACATGCCCGGTGTACTAAACCCCTGCTATGCGCGGGATCAGGGGAAGGGCTAGACCACAAGGGTTTATTTTACGCACCCTTACCCTGCATTTCTGCAAGAGGCTATTTCCACAGCAATTTTACCAGTTAGGTCAAGGCTCCCCTTTACTTGGAGGATTGCACCTGGCTATATTTGGGAGAGTCCGAGCAACATAGGTAACATGGCGTCTGATACAAGAATTTCCAGAAACTGATGAATAAATCAGAACTTTTTCTATGTCAAGTGGTGTAAATAACAACATGGCAAGTAAAAATTATTAGAACTTTCGGATAATCAGAGCAATTGCTCGAGTTTTAGACAATTTTTGCTTATGCGATAGACATAGTACTCCAAAGCAAACAGTTGGATTTTGTGGCACTCAAAACTTGATAATTAACCACAAAATATCGGTCATTTCTGAGTTTGCATAAATATATCAATCGGTTTCCTTCTGGAAAAGTTTCTAAAAGGTCATGTTGACGTGTAACTGGTTGATTTGATTTGAAATATATTAAACAAAAAATAATCCAGGTTGACATATAAATATATTTAATTAGATAAAATAAATTGGTAGTTTTAATTTTCTTTAGAAGCTTGTCATTCGTAATTCTTGCTTTGGAGATGTTACTCCTTTTTATATTTAGCAATCTTCTTTCTGTAGTTTTAACGAGGGAAAACATTTAGAATTTAGAAGTAGCAATTTTAAATCTTCGAAATTCAAGAGAATGAATTTGGACTTGCGAAGTGATATATACCAATCAGATTAGAATAAAGCCTTCATTTAGAACGCGATATCATAATCATGATTAATAATAATGATTTTAATAACGAGTTAAATAAAGAGGATTAAAAAGAAAACTGATGATCGGAAAACATTATACAACACAAGCGGCATATGATAAAAGTTTTCTTAAGTGACCGAATAATACTACGTAGTAATTTTTTTGTCCGCATGAAAACGAATTACTTTGAAATGGTAAACTTTTGCTTGCTTTCTCCACCACATAAAACTAAATTCCCAGCAAAACAAAGAACAGAAAAAACACAAAGGACATGCTACTATACGATAAAAACTTACTCCTGTATGTATGTCAAATCAAATCAAATAATTTATGCTTAACATTTAAAGATTAAAGTGAGAAATATCACTCATAAAAAAGGAATATCACTCCTGACTTTTTTTTTTTGGTTGCTATTTCATGACTCTCACTCAACCATGATCAAGTCATAAATGTAAGTAAGAAAACAACATTATCTTGTATTTTTTATTCGAGTACATTTTGAGAAAATGATACAACTACTAAAAGCTTGGCCACTTTCTTCTTTTTCAGCTCACCGCAAAGCATGGTAAGGGAGCTGATGAAGTAACCAATGACGATATACTAGGTTATTTTTTTTTTATTTGTATCTAAGTCTTGGTGGATAGAGTTATTATATATTTTATTGATAAATTAATCGAGATGTGTGCAAGCCGTCATTATATTAAAAAAATGATGATGAAATGAATGGCTATTGATTACCTGTGCCAAGTATCACAATCCATATAGTGAAGAGCTCCTTAATGGGCAAGCCACGTTGCCCAGCTTTGTGCAGATCCACTTTACAACCTGGGCAATTCTCGTAGTACTCTTTCTTATTCAGCAGCGTCTCCTTAACTCCCTCTAATTTGCCCGCCATTTTTGATGAGAGGAGAGAGGCAAAAGAAGAAGCGTTATTCTCTTCGTCTCTCATGCACCAATATATATCCACGCTGATATTTTGGAGAGAGAGAAGTATGCTAATACTTCCAATTCATTTTAACTATATTTAAATACTTACTCTCACCAAATATTTATGTCATAAAAATGAATATAAAACATGAAGGGGAGGCTTGACATATGTGATCAAGAGGTCATGGATTCGAGCCGTGGAAACAGCCTCTTGCAGAGATGCAGGGTAAGGTTGTGTACGATAGACCCTTGTAATCCGGCCCTTCCCCGAACCCCGCGCATAGTGGGAGCTTAGTGCACCGGACTGCCCTTTTTAATAAATGTAAAACATGTCTTAACTCCTATATATGTAACTTTATCACTTAACTATGGTTAATTAATATGCAGATTCACTTTAATTTTTAACTGCTAAAATTAACTTACTTGAGTTGATATAAGCTCTTGTGAGGTTTTGATATATTCATTATATGGCATTTTTTGTCTCCCCTAAAAATGATTATTGAACCATTAAGAGAAGAAAAAGAAAAAAGAAGGCAGTGTGGTGCACGAAACATTTCATGTTCACGCAATTCGAGAGGACCTCACCCCAAAAAGTGTGATATAAATAATCTACCCTAATACAAGTATCAGTGGTTGATTTCACTGTTTGAACCCATAACCTATAAAGTATACGGAGATAACTTTACCGTTCTAAGACTCCCCTTCTATTGAACTATTAAGAGATTACTTAGAAAATTGTACAATCAATTATTAAAGTACTGGTTGACTTGAAGAAAAACAACAAATGCTTTTTTAGTTTCTTAAAAGGATACTAGTGCACTTATTTTGGACCTATGTGAAGAGTGCATAAACAACTTTGGTACATGAACCAAAAATTCAAGCTTGGCAATCACTCAACTAGGAGAAACTAACTAATGACGTAAAGACGCCAAAAGTGACTGCGACAAAACTTTGTTTTGCGGCCACAAAGTAGTTACAGGTCGCCTTCGATGGATAATAAATAATTACTATAACAAAGCAAACAAAAGCAAATCAGACAACAGCAAAAGGTATATCTCTGGACCCTGGTACAAGAGAAGTATGACACGGAATTATTGATGGCTTTGTTTATAGAGTAGTTATTTGATTTTGGAAATTTAATCGGAATTATTTAGTGAGTATATTTTTATTAATAAACGTATTGATTTATTAAAATTAAAATAAAACATATGGGGTTTAATATAAAATATGTATTTGATTTTACCCGAAATTAATTGGGATAAACTTTTATTCTCAAGTTTAATGGCTAAGTAATGATTATTTAAGATAAATTACTACATAAAAAAATTTAAAAGTAAGCATGAGGTAATTTCAAAATATACTTGATTAAGACTTCCAAATGAAATTTCTACTTGTTAAAAAATCTAGTTGTAAGACATGTGGTGGCTTGAGAGAAAGAGGAAGGAGTAAAACAACACCTTCATTACACTGGGCAAGAGTTATCCCATACAAACCTTTGGGTTTTAAGTAGTGTAAACTATAAAATTAACCGATTGCTAGCCTAACGGTGTATAAAATATATATTATATGTACATAATGCACATATAAACAAACAAAATATATATTTTGTCAGCTACTATACTATTTTTGAAAACGACTAAAAATTATACATTTTTCTTTTAAAAGAGTATCCAAATTAAGGGGTAACTTGAATCTATACCCAATGTAATGTAAATTACCCAGTAACAAAACAAAAGCTAATCTAGTATCAACAGTTTCGAGCTAAAAGTAATGAATACAACTAGTTGAACTCATAGAACCTACCGTAAATTTGTCCTTTGTGAACCGAATATTCAATTGAATTTTGGGAATTTTTCATAAAGCACCATCTTTTTGGTCTAATTAGCCATTTATAGATACCATTTGCTATATTACGTGTTATAGATACCTTTTATGTTTTTATACAATGTATTCCATGTATTTAAGCTGTTGTATTCATTAATACAACCAAAAATATAGGCGTAAAAACTGGAATTCCAGCTAAGTTTGACATGTATTTAGCTGTATTCAAGCGACATTAACATTAAATACAGTAACATATCTGCGCTAAAAACGGAAGAAAATCAAATCACATGATATTCTCCTAAATTAACTCAACGAACTAAAAGGATCCCTCATTAATCTATATTTGAAAGATACATAATAAAGATTATAGTTGAATAAAGAGAAATACATATGAATAATACAGTTGAATACAACAAAATACACCTTAATTCATCTGAATAAAACACTTGAATACAACAAAAATACAACTGAATACAGCTGAATAAACTCTTGAATGTAACAAAATACAACTAACTTCTGCTGAATAAAATAGTTGAATATAACTAACTACAACTGAATACAACTGAATACAGTTGTATAAAACACTTGAATACAACTAACTACTGCTGAATAAAATAGTTAAATACAACTGATTAAACCTAAATACAAGTGAATACAGCTGAAGAATACGTTCAAATACAACTGAATACAAATAGGCGATTTGAGCGATCTAGAGAGAGAAACAGCCATATGGCTTCGCCGGCCGGCGGCCAGCCATTAATTCCGGCTGGTCAGCCATGAGGCAAATTCATAGAAATCCTCATTGATTTTAGGGTAAGCGTCCAAATTCCGAAGCTTACTGAACACTCTTTCCATTTCCACCGAATACCTTAATTCATAACCGAACTTTTACAACAATTGAGAGCACGGAACTTTGAAAGCTCCGAAGCTATCTCCGGTTCAGATCAGTTTGTAGGCCGCTGGTGCCGGAGAGCAAAAACGTTGCCTTGGGTTTAAGATTGGGCCTGGGGCTTTACTTGGATGGAGGAGGTGGAAGAAGAGTTAAGAAACTAGGGTTTGTGAGAGAAGATAGTCTGGTTGTATGCAAACAGAGAGAGATTGTATTGGGGTTTGGGTAATTATGTGAGAGAAAATACAAAAAGGGAGAGAAAAATAATATTTAGCATATATGGTGCCTTAATTGTAGGATGTAACTATATTTAAATTTTTTGCTATAAAGGATAAAAGGTATTTATAGGATGTCATATTTTAAAATGGTATTTATTTAAAATAAATAGGGTACTAAGGTTTTCTATAGAGTGTAAAAATTCCTTGAATTTTACCCCCTTTATCCAACTCCTAATCCACAAATCAAGATTGAATGGCTAGGGCTGTCAATCTTGGCTCCAGCCCAAATGACCCACCCAACCCGTCCAAAATTGGGTTGGTCATTGATCCACCCATTTATTGATCTCAGCACTTATTGATTCAATTCAACTTAATCTAAGTAACTTTATGACCCGCCCAATTATTGACCCCCAAAATCGGCTCAACCCATCCATCGATGGTCTTCTTAGAACTAGAACTAAAATTTATACTAAAAGGTTATCCAAGAATATTGCAATGGTCATCTCGAAAAGTACAAGAAGGAAAAAGTTAATATTAACAGTTATTAGATGAAAGTGATAAAACAAGTGTAACATGTTTAAAGCAACTCTCCACGTTATCGACCGACGACTCCAAATTGTGACTCAAACGAGTGCCAATGGTCGCCATCAATGAATAAATATAATAAAGCAAACAAAATCAATTTACATACAACTGCTCTAACAAGTATAAAATATAGCATTGGTATACAAAAAGAGTTGATACTGTGTAAAAAGAGATAATAGTCCAAAAATTAGGCTGCTAAATATATGAATCTCATCGAAACAGAAAGGACTTAGAATGAACAAAGTTCATTTTACCTATCTAATTTGATTCACGGTGATCAAATCATCTGGCCAGTCCGTATATGTTTGCATGAATTGATCGATAGTCAGAAAGAGGGCAACTTCTTGCTTACCCACTTCTTTAATACGGGGTTTCAAGTCCACAGTTACACACAGCTAGTTGTGGAGTTCAATTTCTAATTATTGCGAAGCGTAATATAGAATACTAAAAAATAATCATAATTGCAATACATAAGCTCTCTACTACGTATTTTGTCGGACGACTAGGAATGGTTTGAATGTCAACAACAAGCCAATTGCTTCAATCACATTCAGCACAAAGAAAACCACCTGATTACCTGCATTTGAGTAGAACACAACAGAAATAAAGATAGGAGAGAGCAACGAGCAACGCATGTAGAGGTGATAATTACTAGAGTATAGAACATGTTGAGTTCCCACATCGGTAAGCGATGGGTTACTAGGTCTCCTTATATAGTCCTGGGCAATCCTTACTTTATGAGCCGACTTCAAAATGCATTTTATTATCATGGTATCAGAGCAGACCCACCCTTAATTCGTGATTTACTCGATCTGAGGCTCACATCTTATATTGTCCATGCTCCAGATGTCTAGTTCAAAGCGGTTTCCGAACAAATTACTACGGGCAGTATATTATGAAATGTCACTTGCTCAGACTCCTAATAAATTTTATATATTTGACCCTAGTTTCCATATTTTTGACACTTATTTATTCCAGATACCATTTCACAAAGCTTATGGCTTATAACAATCACTGTCGTCACGCTGATCTGCGATGTGTCGAAATTTCGCAGCAATAAGGCAAAGTCCACCACCCATTCCATACAAACCAAGGCACAACAAATTCCTAGCTATTGTAGAAATATGATTTGAGAAATGAGTTTGATCATTACCTGGAAGAAAGGAAGCATCAAGCCTTTTCTGTGCCCAAGAGAAGCTGCACAAAACAAAACAAAACAAAAAGGGACAACTTTAGCTGTAAGAAAACAGATGCATGTTTTTTCTAAAGCAAAACCAGGTAATCTGCGAGTTCTCAAGCAAAGATGTGAAACACATTCAATTCCCAACCCTGCTATCATTAACAGAAAAGAAGGTAGTCTGTCTAGGACAAGAAGATCAATCGCTATATTGCGTTCTAAAGTCAAACATTCAATTTGGAAACAGCGATCCAGTTTCCCTCTCATTTTCTCAAATGTAATAGATAGTTTATTCGAAGATCAGAATCGAAAGTGTCTACTGATACTAAGACGATGTTGGACCTACGTTTTCTGATTTATGGCTC